TTTTTTTTCTTTGGTCTTGCTTGATGAGTCCAGGTGTTTCCTTTTAAAGGTAAGAATTAGCATTTTAACCAGTCAGCTTGTTTGGCATTTACCCACCGATTGTATCATTTGCATTGGCTGACATTGCCCTAATAATGGAGAAAAAGCAAATCTGTTTAGGTAGTCATACATTTCTTTTTATGCACACCCACACAAATTATTTGTCTACCTTACATTTTGTGCAGGAGATATTCTCTTAACAGTTGGTTGCAAATTGAATTTTTAGAAATCAAAATCAGTTGGCTGCAGGAACATATCAGATAAGCTTTATCTTCCTTCCTAATGAATCATCACCAGGCAGTGACTCCTGTCATGTAATTTTTTAGATTCTTTCCCTTGGTTCTTTTTGTCAAGTAATTGATTTATAAATGAGTATTTAAGTTTTCCGGTCAGGCTTCCTGTTTAAAGGAAGCAATGCAGTGAATTATTTCACAAGTTCGGATTTTAATGATCTATGTTGGCGGAAGTGAAGAAGGCAGTGCCTTTTGTGATTTGTTTTAATGCTAAACCTAAGGCCAAACCCCCTTGTGTTGATAAACCAATAAGAGAAGTCATGTGAACACTGATAATGGCACTTTTCCAATTGCAAATATTTTGCATTCCCTATGATTTTTATTAGGATACAGAATCATATATTCTTTTACCTATGGAAGTATCTTATACTGGCTAGGAATCTACTACAGTGTTGAATTGAGTTGGTGAGGTTGGCCATCCTTGCCTTCATTTTGATCTTAAAGAGAAAGCATTCAATCTTCCACTATTAAGTATTATGTTAGCTAACGGTAGGCATTTCAGGGGCACCTGGGTGGCTCAGTCAGTGAAGCGTCTGCCTTCGGCTCAGGTCACGATCCCAGGGTCCCGGGATTGAGCCTTTCCTTGGCATTGCTCAGCAGGGAGTCTGTTTCTCCCTCTCCCTCTGCCCTCCCCATCCCACCCCCCACTCATGCTCTTCCTCTCTCAAATAAATAAAATCTTTAAAAAAATAAATAAATAAAAATAAAATAAAAGTAGGCATTTCATTAAGGCTTGTTATCAATTTGGGAAAATTACCTTCTATTATTAGCTTTCTGACAGTTTTTATCAGGAATGGATGCTGAATTTTGCATGGTTTTTTTTCCTACATCTGTTAATATGGTGAATTAATATTGATTGATTGACTTTAAAATGTTATACCAAACCTGCCTTCATGATTAACCCTGTTTATTATGTTTATATATATATATGTTTATATATATATATAAAACTAGATTTATTTTGCTAAAATTTTATAAGGATTTTTGCATCTGTGTTCATGAGAGATGGCAATCTATAGTTTTCTTGTCTTGTAATACCTCTGACTAATTTTGGCATCAATAATGCTGGCCTCATAAAAAGAGTTAGTTGTGTTCTCTGTTCTATTTTCTGGGAGAATTTTTGTAGACTTGATGTGATTTCTTCCATAAATACTTTGTAGAATTCATAGACGTCATCTGTGCCTGGCATTTTTCTTGTGGAAAGGTTCTTAACTACAAGTTCGGTTTCTTTATTAGGTATAGTGTTATTTAAGCTGTACATTTTTTCTTGAGTGAGTCTAGTTGAATTATAATTTATGCAACTATTTATAAGACACATGGGTTTTAATAAATCAATAATAATCCATCTAAATTGACATCTTTTAAAAAAACAAGCAGATCAGGGAAAGGGGCTAGGGCATTTGCAAGTGGGCACATCCACAAATAACATGACCATTATGGGCATACAATAGACAGTAATTTTGTGCTTATGATATCCTGTTGAAAAGCAAACACTCAGGACGATAATCATAATTACTTGTTACTTTTCCAAACGATTGAAATAAATACTGCATGAGTCAGTTACCTTTCTATTTCAAATACCTATTTAATGACAAAGTAGGGATCAATATAAGACTTCCAGTAATGGAGGAATGATACTTGTACAGTCAAAATTCACTATTTATGGATTCAGGTACTAAAATGTATTTGTAACCTCAGAATCATACTTGTGACGCTCTCACGTTCATTCGCAGCCATGCACAGAGCAGTGAAAACTTTGAGCAGCCCAGTGCACACATTCCCAGCTGAGATCAGACAAGGCAACGCTCTGCCTTCCTTCCCACCCTCACGCAGGGTTAACTACAGGATGGAGCAGCAGGGGGCAGTGCAGCTCAGTGCAAGAAGCTCAAGCTCTGGGGCCACTGCATAGTTCGAATCCCACCTGTGGCCCCTCTTAGTGGGGTGGCCTCAGGCAAGTCACTTAATGCTTCTGAACATCTCTTTCTTTTCTGTAATATAAAGAAAGTAGAATCTGACCGGATGAGTTGTTCTTAGGATTTAATACTGTCATCAATGTGCGATGTGTATTGTATCTATATGTATATTGCTTCTAGGAGAAATGATACATTATTTGCTGTTTCATTGTTCCCAGTGTCTTGTTAGACCTTACCTAACATGAATAACAAGAATGGACTGTATTTAGCTTTCTTACCTGATGAAAGTATGCAAGTATGATTTGCAGATGTTTAACAAACCTTGCTTTTAAGATAAGCGTCTCTGATCATGAAGTACTATGTATTTTACATGTTGCTAGAATTGATTTGCTGAAGTTGTAAAAAGCATTTTTGTATCTATGGTTGGTAAAGGAATTTTTTTTTAAAAAAAGAAATGTGTAATCTCACAAGTTTAGGAGCATGGGAGAGGAGATAACACATAAATATCAACAGTTTTTACCAAGTTGAGTGGCAGGTGACAGCAGACAAGAGAAGGCTGACACACACAGGTGTGTGGAGTTGGAGTAGAGCCAAGGAACAAACTCGTTTACTCCACGGAACTGCAGACGGCTCAGGGTGGTTTCAGAAAGGATCAGGAATGAAGATGCCAGTTATCCAGGGGCACCTGGCTGGCTCAGTTGGAAGAGCATGCAACTCTTGATCTTAGGGTCATGAGTTCAAGCCCCACGTTGGGTATAGAGATTACTAAAAAAGATAGATAAGCTTTAGAAAAATTATGAAAATAAAAAGAAAATACCAGATATCTGAAGATTAAAGGTGCTGGAAATATGAAAATTGGATAAAAAAAAATCCTTAGAAGGAATAGTTAGTACCCTGCCCCTGCCTCCTTCTCTAATTAATCCAAAAATGGGAAGTTTACTCTCTAAAGAAAGTAAATGAGATATGAATAGATTCAGGAGATCAGACACTGCTAAATTTGAGAACGGGATCCACACCATAAATGGGGCCTCACAGTTAAACAGAGAGACCCCTACCTGCCCCTTCCTTTCTTGATTTCAAATGACTAAAAGATGATGGTTTCCAGAGAGGAGATTGCCACATTCCAACCTGTAGAGAAAGTGACCAGCCCAAAAAAAAGACATCTGGGTCATAACATTAAAAAAAAGAAAAAAGATCTCGGATTCTGAATTTTTGGGGTCCCCTGATGAAACATCTGGATCATCTGGATGCCTTCCCTCCCTGCTGTGAAGCTTCACTAGTTCATAAGCTTTCTGAGGAGCACAGTTGTGGTTTTTTCCCCCAGTTAGCATTTTAGTACCTTGCTTGTAAAGACAGACAACCAACAATCACCAGATACTTGTAGAAATACCTTTAATGTGAAAGCAGAGGCCAAAATGAAGAAACACTTGAAAGAAGAACTTGAAAGAAAAAGATAATTCAAGGGGTGCCTGGGTGGCTCAGTCGGTTAAGCGTCTGCCTTCAGCTCAGGTCATGATCCCAGGGTCCTGGGATCGAGCCCCACATCGGGCTCCCTGCTCAGCAGGGAGCCTGCTTCTCCCTCTGTGTCTGCCTACCACTTCCCCTGCTTGTTCTCTCTCTCTTTCTCTCTGTCAAATAAATAAATAAAATCTTTAAAAAAAGAAAAAGGTAATTCAAGGAGAAAAAAAAAATCACAAAACTGTCTCTGACTAACCCAGAGAGAAAAAAATCCATGAAGCGTGGTATAAAAGAATATCACTCAAGAAATAAACAGGAGTGGCTGCATAATGAAAATACAGTACCTCTTCTTTGAAAAGTTTTGGGGATTTCATGCTGGGAGCACAGAGCATGAAACCAGGGGTAGAGCCCTTCTGAGCACAGGCACTTGTGTGATGGCGCAGGGGGCACAGACCTGTGACCCCAGCCTTGGAAATAGGAAAGAACTCTTGGAGATTAAACATGCAACAGCAGAAATAAGAAAGTTGAAGAGTTGGAAGATAAGGAGGTTGGACAAAAGGATGAAAAAATACTCAAGAAAAGAAGATAGCTTAAGACATTCATGATGTAAATATAGTCAGAGTTCCAGACAGAGGACAGAAAAACTAGAGACAAGGAAATAATCCTACAGGTATTTCAAGGCAAGTTCCCAGAGCTGAAGGACATGACTTTATAGGTTTCAAGGGCCAAGGCAAGGTACACAATCAGGCAATTTTGAATTACCAGGAATAATTTCCTGAAAGCTTTCAAAGACAGATAAACCAAAGTGAAGCAAAAACGGTGGGGGGGGGGGGGGGGTCATGTGCAAAGCAGTGGAAATCAGAATGGTAGCAAATAGAAAATGTTAATTTAGCCAGAATTTGTGAGAGGATAGATGGATAGATTTTTTTTTTTTTTTTTGAGACTGGGGAGAAGAAAAGAGGGTAAAAAAACTAAATTCTCATCTACTATAATAAGAAGTCAGTAGATGGTCAATCTCAATGAAAAATCAGAAAATGGTCAGATAAGTATGCCATGTAGATATTTGGAGGTAAAACAGCAATTAAAAAAATAACCTATTTCAGCACAAGAATCAAAGGCCTCTTGAGTGCAGGAATCATGGATTGAGGAAAGGAACCACTGTTTTTCAACATCAGTCATGTACCTTTTATCTCTCTGTGTTAGTCATTTAACAGTTACAATTAAAGAATAGGTAAGGATTTGGACAAGGTTGGCTTGAACTGCCCAGATGTGACACTAACGCTTCTTCTCTCTCCAGATTCCAGGTACATTCTCTTGCCTGTCGTGTTACATCACCTCCACATGCACCTGCAAGAACAGAAGGACCTGATCATGTGCGCACGTATCCTTAGCAACGTATTTTGTCTCATCAAGAAAAATAGCTCAGTAAGTAAATACAGGTCATAGTATGTAGTTCCCATCAAATGGCTTCTGGAAATAAAAATGTTAAAGTCTTCAGAGAAACCACACTGAAGAGTAACCCTCTGAGACTCTCCTTTTTACTTCCAGCTGGGTTGGACATTTTGCTTTTCCTCTGAAATCACTTTTTTTAACCTTGTAAGATTGCTATAACCCCAAATAACCTGGGTTTCCTAAACTTGTATTTCGAGAAAGAACTGAATACCCAGTGAGAAAAATTAGAAATCTCAAAGCCTCCCACATGTGTCTTTAATCTTGATATGATGAATACTCTGTGGCAAGAATAAATTACTGCCTGCAAAGTGAAGTCTTTTTGGACCCATTCTGTGGAAGACTGCGTGGTGATGCTCAGAACTTGGCCATGGCCCTTGGGCCCTGCCCTGCAGAAATTGTGGAAGCAGAGGAAAGCCCCAGGAGACAAGGAGCGTATCTTGCACTATAGTCATTACTCAGCCACAACAGTAATCACTAAATTGTTAAGGATTCGGGAATTCCTGTGGATATACCTGACTCTTGCTACAGCACAGTTGCATTAGAGGATGCAGGGCAAATAGAGAAAAATCACATGCTTACTTAGAAATGGGGACAACTCTTTGAGTATTCATGTCCACGGCTCTCGGGACTCATGTGAAATTCACACGTAAAGGACGTCCTGTTCTCGTTCTGTCAGTTTGCAGCTGTGAGTTGGCATTATACTTGTCTTCGACAGCTGGTCCAGTGCAGTGCTGGGACTCTTGTTTCTCTGCCTCCCTGCTACTACTCGGCTGCAGTTTCCCCATGTTTGTCACTCTTACTTATGATCGCCTTCTGAAGGGCTCAGCGTTGAGCTGGCGTGGAACCCCAGTGGAAGGAATGGAGAGAGGGCCCCAGCACTGGAAACAGAGTTGGTACTTGAGAGGAAAAGGTCAGAAGCTCTGTGTGTAGAAATGTAATAAGAGAGACCTGCCCAGGGAGGGACGACTGATTTTAACACATCCTGAGGATGCCAGGCCTCAGAGTTGGGCTGGGACTGAGGAGAAGAGTGATGACAGGGGGGAAATGTTAGTTTTGCTTTAAAACTTTCCTGTGTAATTCTGCTAAGTGAGATGGTTCACTGCAGAAAACTGAAAACGACTGTCAACAGTAGTGAAAAAGACTTTTTAAAAATTTCTCCTGTCTATTTCAGTTTGGAAGTTACAGTCAGCTTTTGGACTTACCTGATAATGAACTCAAAACAGAAACTCTGCTCTGCGGGGGAAACCATGGTAGTTTTCTTGCAAGTGTAAGGAAGTTTATCATGAAACCCTGGCCAAAAAGCGGTTTCAAACTCACACTTTGTAAAAGTTTTTGTTTGTTTGACTGGTTCTTTTTTGGAACGGCCATCTCCTTGGTAAGGAGCCTTTGGACACAGAGTTTTGTCTTGTGCAGGCATAATAAGAATCCAACTCTACTACATTCAGTCTGTGCAGAGCAATTTGGGTTTCTCTCTCAAGTCCTGGGGACTTGGCTACAAGTATTAATTTTGCTTTAGGGAAGCACCACGGCCACTGACCTTAGATCCAGTCTGGAGCTCATGGTGTTCATCTACACTGAATGCTGTTTGCTCATCTTACATGGAGGATTTCCTAAAAATCATTTTTATAGGAATAGTCGTTTGCACTTAAAAGAGAGTTTTGGAAAATGACCTTTGCAACTCAAGTGATGGGAAGAGTATATGTAAGCAACAAGCTGAAATCAGAAGAACTAAGGACTTTGGGAACCAGGAAGGGCTTTCAGTGAGGAATCCGACTCAGAGAGGCCAACTGCCTGGGCCGCATCACACACCGGGTCTGTGCATAGCTAATGCTCTGAATTCATCTGCTGTGCTTTCCAGGATGTCACCCCACCTTTTCATTTGTATGTCCAGTAGCCACAGCACAGCCTCGCTGGGTACTCTTGGGTAAGCTGTGAACTTCTCTGTGCCTTTGTTTTCTGTAAAAGAAGGTCATTTACTTAGGTGACGTAGGTGAGGTCCAGTTCTGTCAAGTTCTTGAATCCTCTGACTTTTTGATTCTGTATTTGGAAATGTGAGGTTTTTTTCCCCCTTTTCCATTAAAGAGAGATTAATACCTATATTAAGCCGCCATTTCCTGAACTCCTTATTTTTTTTCTCTTAAGGAGAAATCTGTGTTGGAGGAAATAGATGTGATAGTGGCCAGCCTGCTGGACATCCTGCTGAGAACCATATTGGAGATCACCAGTCGACCTCAGCCGTCCGGCTCTGCCATGAGGCTCCAATTCCAGGATGTCACTGTAAGATCATAAAGCAAATGGCACATGGAACAGAGCATAGTTGTGCTTGTGAAAGCTTCGGTCACTTTGAGGGTGGGTTGCTGTAGGAAGCTGGGAAATCTGGCCTTGGGAGAGTGACCCATATGTATTTCAAATACACATGGAGTTACTTACATTTTACTAGGGAATGAAGATAAAAAACACTGTTTGTTAAAAGATCTTGGATTAAGATACGTTTAATTTCAGAAAGCCAAATTTGTTATTAGCTCTCACTTTGCCCAGTTTAAATTAGCCCATGATTCTGTGTCCCTAGTCCTCATGATAACTTTTCATTCTCTTTTTATCCATCAGATTGCTTGAGGAAATAAGAATAATGAAATAGAGAAACAGGAGTCAGGTGTTCTGAGTTCTAATTCTGGATTTCTCACTGTGAATGGCAAGGATCTTAATTTGGGGAGGCTTCAGTTTCCTTAGCTATGAAATGAGAAAGTTTGACATGGTAGTTTCTAAGTAACCTTCAAGCTCCACTATTTTATGAGTGTAATATAACATGATTTATAAAAAATTAAGAAATAATGTATCTGATAGTTTATGTATGTGTATATATTTTTATGTGTGTGCATTTGTCTATAGAGAGAGATGGATGGATGGACAGATGGATGGATGGATGGATTCTATTTAAAACTCACATTCAGTTGACCAAGAATTTGTTTTTTTAGATCTGATTAAGCATATTCTTCCAAATATCAGAAATGGCAGTAGATGCTGTACTTTTCATATATTTACAAAAATGTCAGCTTCTGCCATTCTCATTATAAATCATCCACAATAGAACCTTTGTCTTAAGAATGTTTGCCTATGGGGCGCCTGGGTGCTCAGTCGTTAAGTGTCTGTCTTCAGCTCAGGTCATGATCCTGGGGTCCTGGGATTGAGCCCCACATCAGGCTTCCTGCTCAGTGGGGAGTCTGCTTCTCCCTCTCCCACTCCCCCTGCTTGTGTTCCCTCTCGTTGTGTCTCTCTCTGTCAAATAAATAAATAAAATCTTAAAAAAAAGAAGAAGAATGTTTGCCTAGCCCCTGATGAAAATAATTTTTACTTTTACTTAAAAAAAATAAAGAGTCTGCCCTGACTCTCCTACCAAGTTCTCCTGACTGTTCCAGGAGAAACAATTGTGTTGAATTTTATTTTCTCTGCTTTCAGAGCTGAGATTCACCTGAGGAAATAAAGTTAAACTCTTTCTTTTAACAAACCAAGTTAAAGATAGTATAAAAAACTTCCTAATACATGGAATAGCCATACTGCCTCATTTAAAGAAAAGAGGAGCAAACGATAGATTTCTCAATTTCATGTGAAAAGTGGTACCTACATCTTGGGGTTGGCTTCTTGTATTTAGTGCACTACTTGGTCCAAAGTAAATGCTCAAAACATGTTGTTGCTTAATACAACAACATTGTTGGGGTTCATTATGGATTTGAAGGTTTGGGGTTTTTTATGTTGAATTTTTTTTATTTTGTTTTTTTCTCATGTTTTTTAATTAAACTTTTTATTTTGTGATAATTATAGAGTCACATGCAGTTGTAAGAATTATTACAGAGTTGTAAGAACAGCTTTTACCCAGTTTCCACAATGGTAAGATCTTACAGAACTATAGGACAATATCACAACTAGGATACTGACATTAATACAGTCAAGACAGAATATTTCCATCGCCCCAAGGATCCCCCATGCTGTGTTTATAGTCAAACCCATTTCCTTTCCATCTCCACCTCCTCTTTAACCCTGATAATCACAAATCTCTTCTCCATTTTTATAATTTTGTCATTTCAAGCATGTTATAGAAATGAAATCATACAGTAGATAACCTTTTGTAATAAGCTTTTCTTCTTTAACTCAGAATAATTCTCTGGAGATTCATCCAAGTTATTACATATATTTATATATCTTATTCTTTTTTATTGCTCAGTAGTTTCCATGTTGTGGATGTACCACAGTGTGTTTAACCATCACCCATTGAAGGTCACCTGGGTTGTATCCAGATTTTGCTATTATGAACAAAGCTGCTATAAATGTTTCTGTGCCAGTTTTTATGTAAGCCTAAGTCTTCACTTCTCTAGGATAAATTCCTAGGAGTGTGGTTGTTGGATTGTATGGTAGTTGCATGTTCTTTTTTTTTTTAAGATTTTATTTATTTGAGAGAGAGAGAGAGTGAGCACACGTGAGCGGGGAGAGGCACAGAGGGAGAAGCAGACTCCCCAGTGAGCAGGGAGCCCCATGATGCTCGATCCCAGGACCCTGAGATCATGACCTGAGCCAAAGGCAGATGCTTACCTGACTGAGCCACCCAGGAGTCACTGCATGTTTAGTTTTTAAAGAAACTGGCAAACTGTTTTCCATAGTGGCTATATAACTTTACATTCTCATGTACACAATGTATGAATGATCCAATTTCTCACTACCCTCTTCAGCATTTGGTGTTGTCATTTTTTTGTTGTTGGGGGGGTGTATTCTGTTACATAGGTAGTAATATCTTATTGTGATTTTAGTTGGCATTTTCCTAATGGCTAATGATGCTGAACATCTTTTCATATACTTGTTTGTCACCAATATATTCTCTTCGGTGGAATGTCTCTTCATGTTTTTCCGATTTTCTACTTGAATTGCTACTTACTGTTGAATTTTCATGGTTCTTTATATATTCTAGATAGTAGTCCTTTATGAGTATGTGGTTTATAAATACTTTCTCCCTTTCCATATCTTGTTTCCTCATCCTCTTAACAAGGTCTTTTGCAAAAGTTTTTAATATTGATGAAGTCCACTCTATCAGTTTTTCCTTTTATGGATCATGCTTTTGATGTCAAATCTAAGAACTCTTTTGTCTAGCCTTGTATCCTAAAGTTTATCTCCTAGGTTTTTTTTCCTAAAAGTTTTAGAGTTATATTTAACATTTAAGTCTATGAACCATTTTGAGTTAATTTTTGCATAAGCTGTGCCAGAGAATTCTAACATTTTATTATCTCAATGTTGACATATATTAATTGTCTTTTTTCTTTCAATTTGAGATCTTCCTGGTTCTTGGTATGATGAGTGATTTGTAATTGAAATCTGGACATTTTTCTATTATAAGACTCTGGATCTTACTTAAACCTTCTGTTTTAGCTGGCTTTATGTGATACTACTTGGCAGGGGAAGCAGGGAGGGTGCTAACTCATGATGGCCAGAGGTCGAAGTTCGTGTTCCCCATATTATCTTCACTAACACTGACCTTTGGCAGTGAAATCACCAGCTCCCGATTTGGCTTTCTCTAAGGAAGTTATTAGGGCATCTCTGCACAGCTTTGTGAGCATGGAAGTCTAAGCTCCCCACTTGGTGTGGGTGAGGCCAAAGTTTTTTGTGATCTTCAACTGGAGTAGAGCAGTTATTACTAAAAGTTTTGTCTTGCTAAACCGCTTTATCTGATCCTTTGGCCAAAGAGTAAACTTCTGTTGTTTGTAATTGTTGGTGTAATTGGCCAGCTTCTTTAGCTCCAGGTGTGAGATACCCAAAGCAGAAAGAAAACCCAGAGCACGCAGCACCATGTCCTTCCTCAGGTCCCAAGGTCCCTGGTCAGACTGCTCTCTTTTCTCCACCTTCAGACTCTTCTTCTGTTTGTTCTCTATGTAACAGGGAGGTTTGTAAAGTAGTACTTAGCAGGAGGAATATGTAAAAGTGTATCTACTCCATCTTCTCCAAGGCAGAAGAAAGTTCTCCTTCATTATGGTTTTGATGGTGACATTTTAACTGTTTCCTGGCAATAGAATTCTAACACAGTTTTAAAATTATAATAGCCCAGCAAACCTCAGAACAAATGCTGGCTCTGGATAAAGACTGCTTGAGGTCAGAAGCTAAAACACTTTTTCAGACTGCTTTGTATCCAGAGGCAGAGTCAATGACAAATCTCTCTGGGGTATGCACGGCCTTTAGGCCTTCACAATACAATAATCAGTACAAAGGAAGAGACTCGAAGGCATTGAATCGGGTTTGCAGATGAAGTTGGGGGTAAGGCAGGCAGGGTGTTCATCCGTTGTTCTAAATTTTAGGAAAATCACGTAAAGAGGAACTTTCCCCAGCATAGCCGTGTTGTACCTCCCCCCATTTTGCGAAAAACCAAACTCTCACAAGGTATGTAGATTGAAATTTGCTGGCACACATGCACTTGAATTACTTGGCTCCTTTGGTTTTATGCTGTAAGACATTTTTTTCAGGGTACTCAAGCAGATCTGCTTTGAATCCTACTTTGCCACTTCATTATCTGCATGCTCTTGGGCAATTTACGAATATCTCTAAGCTTCTGTTCCTTTGTCTTTAAAACAGAAAATAGGGGCACCTGGGTGGCTCAGTTGGTTGAGCATCTGCCTTCGGCTCAGGTCATGATCCCAGAGTCCTGGGATCCAGGCAGCGGGCTCTCTGCTCAGCAGGGAACCTGCTTCTCCCTCTTCCTCTCCCTCTGTGCGCTCTCTCGATCTCTCAAATAAATAAAATCTTTAAAAAATAAAAATAAAAAAATAAGACAGAAAATAATTGGACCTCTCTCAAAGTTACTGTGAGGATTTCATCACATCTGTAAGGGTTTAAACAGTATCAGTTTACTTTAGTAATTATTATAGTAGCAACAATAGTCACAGTAGTGTTTATTACACAGTAGTAGTGTAATGGTCACATGATTGCTGAATACTTATACTGTTGTTATAACTAATTCTATGGTGAGGAGCATGAGCTGGTCATTCACAGAGTCAGTCCTCTGTGGGCACTGAAGACTTAATTTCTTTACCATTTTCTCATGGAGAACAGGCTCTCTGAATAATAGGAGGTCTTTACTTTACATTGAACATTACAACATTGAACACTTTGCAGTCTTTTTTTTTTTTTTTAAAGATTTTTATTTATTTGAGAGAGAGAGTGAGCGAGAGCATGAGAGGGGGGAGGGTCAGAGGGAGAAGCAGACTCCCTGCCGAGCAGGGAGCCCGACGTGGGACTCGATCCCGGGACTCCAGGATCATGACCTGAGCCGAAAGCAGTCGCTTAACCAACTGAGCCACCCAGGCGCCCGAACACTTTGCAGTCTTTGCAGAAAAAGTGCCCACAATAAGTGGACGTCCTGTGGGTGAAAGCGGTTCCCACAGTGCGTCATGGCGAAGTGTTCAGTTCTCTTGCGGGTCCCATGGCTGTCACCGTGCCTCCCCATAATGCTAACAGGAGGACTGGCTGCCGCTGCATCATAATTCTAAATAACAGTAGCCTTATTTTTACTATTTAAAGGGACTGTACTTTTTGTTCCTTTACCAACTGTTCTTTAAACTTCAAAATGCTCTCTCTTGCTAGAAAGAAGAAAAAACACCATTGTTATCGGTTCCTTTCAAAAACCTAATTGTATGCAGAAGCAGAGTTAATACAG